ATCGTCATCTGCTGCATGAGGAAGCTTCTCTGGTGAGAGTTGAGAGATGTATTAATGTAGGGGCATAATGGCTCCTATATTAAACCTCACCTACCGAAGGCTCAGGGACCATTGTGAAAGAGGGGGCAGAAAGATTGTAAGAGCCAGTTTTGGTGCATAACCAAGGGAAGAGGGGCTTTCAGGCCTTTGGGAACTTGCTCATATGACCTTACAACAATGGTGACAGCATGCACAAGACCCATGCTGACTCAATGAGACAAAACTCCAGTAGAGAACAGGGGAAATGGACAGCAGGCCCCAACCTTGGCTGATAACTTTAGGTGAGGGAAAGCAGATCTTCTTTAAGGAAGTGACTCCATATAGGCTGACTAGACTCCAATGGATGAACTTGCACTGAGGTACATCTGGGTACAAATGCTTGACTGGATAGGCCTTAACATACATGACAGAACACACGAAATCTAGGTGCAGGAAGGGCAAGAGGGGGCGAAGATGGGGAGGGAGTCTAAATTTGATTAAAATCTCTTACATGAAATGCATAAAATCTCAATAAAAGTACACATAAAAGTGAAATATTAATAGCAACAACAAAAACAACAAAAACTAAAAATAAATCTACTGTATGATCTGCTTATATCACTCCTTCGCATATACCTAAAGGACTCATCCTACTGCATCAATCCTTATACATCCATGTTTGTTGCTGTTCCTATCACAATAGTTAAGAAACTGAACTGTGTAATGGATAATGAAAATGTGATAAATTTACAGAATGGAGTTCTACTCGGTAGTAAAGGAAGAGGAAATCATGAAATTTGCAGCTCAATGGATGGAACGACAAACTGTTATACTAAATGAAGTAACACAGACTCAGAAAAATAAACAGTGTGTGTTCTTTCTAATTTGTGGGTCTTAGCAACACATCCTTATATGTGAGTGTGTAGCCTGACATCAAAGAAAGAGCAGGAAAATGGTAAGGAACCATGGAAATAAAAGGAAAGAAAGAGACAAGAGACGGGGAGAGAAGGAGACCAATGTTACCAAGTAGGGGACTGGGGAGACGGGCATGTTTAACTGGGAAGGAAGGGGGGACATATGTACAAAGAACCATAGGAGCAGGTGGAAGAAGGAGCTCACGAGAGGGGGGATAATAGGAGACAGATATTATTGAGGACAAAAGGCAAAAAATGGGGAAGACTTTAACTAGAGAGGGAGGAATGAGGGTTAGACAGGGAGAGAGAGATGAGAGATAAATAATTCTTAGGTGGTGTGAAAAGCCAGAGGGAAATACATTAGTTCAAAAGCCCACTGAAAAATACACATGCGATATCTTTACATGAGCGTATGTATATAGCTGAAGGACATGTTAGAAGAAACACAGTGCCAGACAAGAGAAACCTCCTTTCGTGTTGTTGATCAGGGAGCTTCACAAGGCTCCCCAAATGACACAGTCTTTTGCCACAGTCCTTGATTACCTCCCAGAACTTGAATATAAGACTTATTGTTGAAGACAGGACATACTTCAGATAAAAGATTTGGGGTAATGGAGCTGGAACTTACCTGGAAGTCTCCTCACTGAAGACAAGCCCTCACAGTCTAGAGGATATTGTGCAAGATGTTAAGGGAGAAAATCAATAAATGATCCAACCTTAGGTTTAAAGCCTAATACCTACAACAATGACCAGCACAGCAAACTATCTGTTGTTGTAGTGGCAATTCTATTTTGGAGGTAATCAACAGCTATCTTATTTGACTTAAAGCCTGATTATTGGGAGGGAAGTCATGTATGGTACTGTAAACATAGCCAAAAATACATGGCTGAAGATGTCTTAAAGCCTATAGAAAATTCACCTGTCACATGCCTAGATAAACATAATTTCTTCCTCTATGTTTAATGAATATCCTTATATTTATGTACAAGTATACAAGTCACCACTCATCAAAGAAGCTTCTTTTTATAACAGAGACTGTTATAGAATTCTCCAAGTAGTCATACACAGAGTATAAGTATATGTAAGATATTCAGCCCTAAAAACACATCTACAATAGACCCTTTATACCTAAGGCACATAGAACATAGTAGAACAAGGGATAGAGAGAATACTAATGCATCTCTCAACTCTCACCAGTGAAGTTTCCCCTTATAACAAAGGGAATGAACACAGAAGGCCACAACTGGTCAAACCATAGAGAATAAAAGACTGTGTGTGTCTGGATAGGACTCACCCACCCAGGGTTCAGGGACCATTGCAGAAGAGGGAGCAGAAAGATTGTAAGAGCCTGGGATGGTGCATGATCATAAGGAAAGTGTCTAAATATGAATAAAATCTATCGTATCAAATTCACAAAATTTCAATAAAAACATACATTGAAAGGAAAAGAAAAAAGGACAAATGGTTCAATTTTTAATTGTCAGACTATGTGAGTAGACATTATTCTACAAGAGATGCATACATGGCTAAAAAGCACCTGAGAAGCTGGGTTTTATCATTAGTCATTAAGGAAATTCAAATCAAAAGCGCCATGAAATAGTATTTCACAATGATAAGAACAGTTATAACAGAAAGACAGTAAGTGTGGGCAAATAATTGCCATCCTCATTCACTAATATTTTTTAGATGGTATAGATTGTTTGGAAAACAGTTTAGTGATATTGAAAAAGACAAATCTTCAAGGTACCACATGGCCCAGCAAGGTCAGTGCTGTAGAAAACTCCCAAGAACTGAAAATAAGCACCTATAGGAAAACTTATATATAAATGTTTATGCAGCAGACTGGCTTTTGTTAGTCAAAAGATGAACTCCATTCATGTATTCTCTTGATGATGAATGGACTTTATCCATAAAATGGAGTGCTATTATACAATAAAGAGGCCTGAACTCTTGAGATATAACACATCTCCAAAGCACCTGCAATACTAGGTAAAATGAACCAGAAAAAGTCACATATTGTGGAGCCCCATTTATAGACATCATCAAGAACAGGCCAATTTATAGAGACAGGAAGGAGCTTGGTATCTGCCTAGTGCTATGGGAAGGGAGGTCCTCACATGACTGGTCATGTTTGTGCCACTCCTTGAAAGTTCTAAAAACCCTGAACTGTATGCTGAAACTGACAATTTAAAAATATATCAAATAAAACTTAATAAATGTGCTATAAAAATTACAGTGATTGGTCAGCAAGATGGCTCAGCTGTAAAGGTGCTTGCCACACAAGCATGGTGAGCTAAATTCAATCTCTAGAGGAATAAAGGAGGAAGCAGAGAGCTAACTCCTCAAAACTGTCCTCCACATGCACACTCTCACCAGTGCATAATACACACACACACAATTAAAATAATAAAATAAATTTAAAATATTATAAACACAAAATAATACTGGCATCATGTGAACCACACAAAACAGTCCACCACAATCCGCTACTTTGCCAGTCTCCTGGAAACACTGGTCTTACCATCGACTCTTCATCATTTCTTGCATAGTTTTTTTGGGTTTGACAAACTGAAATTCTATAAGGTGATTTTGGGAAAAAAATGTATTAATTCTTTGAAAAAGAGAAACTAAGATGATAACTATATAGAAAACAGAGCTGTTGGTATATTCCCAAACATGAATATTATGCAAATAATTTGTGAAACATATGCAGCCATTTTAGTATTGTCAGTCTTTTAGAAGATAGTCTTATTAGTTTGTGGGTAGGACCACATCAGCTCTATCAGGTCCCATATTCTCTAATTCAGTCCTTCATTCTGAGTAGAGATACAGATCATATGTTTATGCTTTTATTTCTTGTAAAATTATTTATCTTACAACTCATACTTTCAAAAACATTTGGCAATACATTTAACTAAAAACTATTTGATGCATAAAACATAGAAACTATCAAAGGATACTGATTAAATATACCAAAATTTTTAAATGATCAAAGTAAATCTAACTGAAATAACAATGCTCATTTAACTTAAGGCAAAATACATAAAAAGAAGTGTTTAAAGAATTATATAATAAATTTACTGTGTTATATGTAGCTTTAGGTGGATGGACTCTGGGGCATTCCAGAATTCCTCTGTATGTGTGTCTGAACCTGTAAATCCAAAGCAGCACTAACACATCCTACACACACACACACACACACACACACACACACACACACACACTCACACACACACACACACACACACACACACACACAAGTAATCTCAAATTAGTAATGATCTCACGATTGAAAATGAAAATGCATTGCTTTTTTTGGATGTTTTCTTTAACTAAAACTCAGAAATCATAATTTTTTTAATTTGGAATGTTCTTTTTAATGGGAAATTTCTTTCTTTGCAATAACTTATTTAGAGCAAGTTTGACATCCTTATTTCTCAGGCTGTAGATCAAGGGATTAAGCATAGGAACAATAGTAGTATAAAACACAGAGGACACTTTCCCTTGGTCTTTGGAGCTGACTGATGATGGCTGTAAGTACATGAATGTCAGGGAACCAAAAAAGACGGCCACAGCAGAGAAGTGGGAGCTGCAGGTGCTGAAGGCTTTGAACCTGCCCTCCGTGGATTTAATGCGGAGGATGCTGGCAATGATGAAGATGTAGGAGGTAATGATAGTCAGGGTGGGAATAAAGATATTGAAAGCACTGAGGCATAGGAGTACTACCTCATTGACAAAAGTACTGGAGCAGGCAAGCTCCATCAATGGAAAGAGATCACAAAAGTAGTGGTTTATTGTATTAGCCTTACAGAACTGCACTCTTAGCATGCAGAGAGTGTGAGTTGCTGCACCAATGAAGCCCATACCATACACCCCACCTACCATCCAGGAACAGACTTGGTAAGACATGTTGACATTGTAAAGCAAGGGGTTACAGATGGCCACATAGCGGTCATAGGCCATTGCAGCCAACATGTGACACTCAGATATAACAAAAATGAGGAAGAAGTAGAGCTGAGTCATGCATTCAGGGTAGGAGATGACGTTCTTCTCTGACACAAAGCTCACCAGCATTTTGGGGGTAATGACTGTGGAATAACAGAGGTCAATGAAGGACAGACTGCTGAGGAAGAAGTACATGGGGGTGTGCAGGTGGGAGCTGAGCAGGATCAGGATGATCATGCCCAGGTTCCCCAGCACTGTGAGCACGTAGATCCCGAGGAAGAGCAGGAAGAGGGGCAGCTGCAGCTCCGGTTTGTCTGTCAACCCAGCGAGGATGAACTCAGTCACTGTGGAATGGTTTGCTTCTTGCATTTCCTTCTGGGAACAATGTAGAAAGTGGGATGAAAAATTGATGTAGATATTTACTTTGTTTCCACATATTGGTGTGTGATTATAGATTTTAAGTCTTTTCAGTTAAGCTTCGGCGGTTTACTGACAGGTCCTCCTGTATTTTAAAAGTCAAAGGCAGGAAATGCCCCAAACATGGGCCATATAAACACTTTTCAGTTAGATATATGCCTCTTTGCAATTGATTCTGTAAGACTATACTTAAACCTATTTGTGAACATCCTCGGAGTGCCACAGTTTATGGAGTTTTCCCAGAACTTTCATGTCTTTCCTGTAGCACTCCTAACTCTTCCATAGAAAAAATATATCTTCCATGACACTGCATAAAACTCACAATACAATAGCTGATGGTTTAGAAGTATAATGCTTTCAGTATAAGTTACTTTAAAATTCAAGATGAATACTCCCTGTAATTTTATTTAATATTATAACAGAATTTCTAGGCAGGCCAATTCACAAAGACAATTAAATTAAATACACTTGACTGTAAAGCAACAAATAAAACTATCTCTACTGATAAATGTTGCAATCTTATTTAGAGAAATTCTAAGTAATTTTTAAAAATGAACTGTTAGACTTACTTTAAAATATGATGATGGATGAACAGATGATCAACAGGAAAATTCAACAACCATGAAACATTTGCAAGACATGAAAACTAATCAGAAGATATTATACATAGAAACACTAAACATTGTTCAAATGAGTTAAAGACCTTTAGAAATGTGAATATCCCATATTAATGAATCAAAAGACTCAATACTATGAAAATGTTAATGCTCTTCAAATTGATCTACACATTCAACATAATTGCTATAAAAATTCAAGTTCTTGCTGGACTTGGTGGCCCAAGCCTTTAATCCTAACACTCAGGAGGCAGAGTCAGTTGGCTTTCTATGAGATCAAGGTCAGTCTTGTTTACACAAGTGAATTCTTGGCTAGTTATGGCTACGGAGAGATTCTGTTTCAAGAATTTCAAGCTCTGTACTTCAAGTTACTGACATGTGAAGCACAAAATCCCTGTAAAAATATATGAGTCCCAGAATAATCAGAAGAAACTTGAATGAGAATCTCATATTTCTCTACTAGAAACATACTACAGTGTTACAATAATTAAGATACAGTACTACTGGCATCATTACAGTTCAGTGGAATGAAATCTATCACCAAAAAATAAGCTTTACTTCTAGGTATAACTGAATTATTGTAAAGGTTTTCCACAGTTCAACACAAATAGAATATTTTTACAACAAATGTACAAGGATAATTAGATAACTACTTATGAAATAAACAAATCTTTCTCATATCATACATTCAAGTTTATTAATAATATGTCCTAGAATTTAAAAATAAAGTTAAAGTTGTAATGGTGTTAAGAAAAAACACAAAAGTAAATCTTTTTAGCTTTAGAGTTTGTTACTCTTCTTAGATAACACATAAAAACCACAGGCTACCATACAAGATAATAAACTGAACATCAAAAAAAATTAAAAACTGTGCTTTAAGCCCCTTAACAATACAGGCTATTGCCTTTGCTCTCAGCTGCCCAATAAAATGTGATGGTAGAGCCCTATTGCTGAAAGTACCACAGGCTTTGGTCACAGGAAAATAGAGAAATCGAGTTGGAACTTACCAGGAAGCTTCCTTACTCCTGATTTGTTTTCATAATACCAAGCTGTTATGCAGGCTGCTGAGGGAGAAAAGTCATCAACAGCCTTACCAAGATGTGAATCATCTTAGCTACAAAAGCTACTACTGTGGCAAGATATATGTGTGGGTGTAATAGTTGCACAAATATTACGGGAGTAATCAACCACTTTCTAATTAAATTTTAGGCCTATTCTACAGGAGGACATACATGTCTAGTACTATAAATCTACCAAGAAACAATGGTCGGCATGCTCATAGGCCCCAGAGGTGAACCTACTAATTTTTTTTGGCTAAATGGATGTATTATCAAACATTTGAAATGCACTTTAACATACCTATCTTTATATACATAGATTAGGGCAGCTTTTAGACCTTATCAGAGAAGTTTCTTTGTTCAGTAGAAGGTGGTTAACACAGAAATTCACGGTTAGTTACAGTGCAGAGCCTAAGTGTTTGTGGAGTGACCAACCACAAGTAGGAAATCTATATCACAACCTCCCCACAAGGCTATAAGTTGCGGAAGATGGAGTATAAAGATTGTAAGAGCCAGGGGAGAAGGTGCACGGCCACATGGAAGTAGAGTCTTACAAGCTCTTTGGACCTTGCTCATAAGAACTTGCAGCAATGGTGACAGCATGCACAAGACCCATGCAAACTCTAGCAGACAAAAACCCAGCATAGAACTGTGGTAAAGGGCAGCAGGTCACAATCTTAGCCAAAGAGTTATTGGGCAGCTGATTACTGCTGGGTGAAGAAGAGCTGATCTTTTAGGGAGTGACTCTAGATAGACTGACTAGACCCTATTGGATGAACTTGCACTGAAAGATGTCAGGGGACACTAACTTGACACAATAGGCCTTAACATCAATGACAGAATGCATGTAATCCAGTGTGGTGGGGGTGGGCTATGGGTGGGTGGCAATGGGGAAGGGATATAAAGATGATTAAGATGTTGTTTATGAAAAACATAAAAACAAAAAAAGACAGACATTCAAGTTAAGTTTCCAAGTACATGCTGTCTGGCACATTTGCTTTCTATCTCTGCACTTGACCATGGCCTGCAACCATCCCCAATTCTTTGTCAATCACCTATTTTACTAGAAACACTTAAAGAATGTCTAGAGATTGATATTGCTACCACACAATGAAGTAGAACTTAGTGATTCCAGAACTGATAGCTTACTAGTTATCTTTCTATAGTTTCTATCTTTCTCACAAAGGTTCTCTTAGTCTCTTAATATGCCCCCTGCTATTAACACTATTAAAGAAACTAAGCTTCCATATCTTTACAGATAGAGTACATCCCAAGAATTTCATGTGTTAGAAACTAAGTCTCTGTTGCAAAAATATTAAGATGTGGAACCTTTAAAGCAGAATAGTTATGAGGCCAATGGATAGATGTTATGTTATAACATTAAGTTAGTTATCATGTGTGTGTTTCTAAAACAAGGATTCCTTCTGCCCTGTCTTCACTTTCCAGGCTGTGTGCTCTACAACAAGAAGTCCCCAACAGATAGTAACCTTTGACCTCAGAGTTTTCTCAAACTCCAGACACTTGAGCCAAATATCTGAGCATTTTGTACTACTTAGAGTGTGTTATACAGCAAAAGCAGTGTTTCTAATCCATGTTTTTGATCAACCGATTTTCTTTTCTTTGTTTCCTGTATGGGCAGGAAACACTTAGTCATTATCACAGAAGTTCCATTATCTCTTGCCCAGTCATGTGGCCTTGTCTGAAGAAGCAGGGTTCTGAGCTACCCTTAGGGGTAACCAACTTCTTCCAAAGTTAGATTCTGACACAGACTCTTAAATCCTTCTGAATCCTGTTTTGCTTTGTTAATACCACCTACTTGCTTGCATGCCTTTAAACTTGGTATAGAATTCCAAACAACTTCCCCTCCATTGGTTGTCTATCCTCCCTGTCTCCGATGCATCTTAGAAATTAATGGGTCAATAGCAAAATACCAAAATATTTAAGAGACTAAGCTTTTATTTGGTAACACTTTTATAGAAATATGATATATGTAATGAATTGCACATATTTCATATTTCATCAAATATAATTTGATTATTTTGGAAATATATAGTCATGACTCCATCATCACAATCAAAGTGATAAATACATCTGTCAATTTTCAGTTTTCCCATGTATTGTGTTTTTATCATAATGCTTAACATGAGATCTACCTTCTTAAGTTTTGAGTTTACAGTACCAGATCTTTGTCTGTGTACACTATAATAAAGGGAACATCTGCCTTACTTACTAATCCAACACTGCTAAGGGTCCGGAGTCATTGGTTTATATCCTCTTTGTCTCCCCCAAGTTCTTAGCTCTAGTATCATTATTGCATTTTCTGCTTCTATGAGTAGATCTGTTATAAATACCTCATATAAGTAGAACCACTCAGGATTTGTACTTTTCTGGCTGCTGTGTGTTAGGTGTTTCACTCAGGTTCATCCATATTAAGCTGGAAGACTTTCTTTAGCGCAGAAGAAAGTTGTGCTCTTTTCAAAATGCAGTAGCGACTCAAAACACTGTAAGAATGCTAACGTGCATCTAGAGGTTTTGCTTCACCATATTTTTGTAGATTTGTAAATAAATGGGATTCCCTTGGTTATCTTGTTAAAGACTTCACTAAATCTCATGCAGTCCATAAGCACATGTTACCGTTATATTTTGTATATGGAAATACATAATAATATCCCATAGCTATGTGAACTCGGGGTCTATATTACAGGCTAGTCAGATTTAGAAATCCATTGTAATTTACTTTTCATCTGGTCTGCAAAAATGTGTTCCTTCAATAACTTAGGTAATATCATGCATTAAAGTAGTATGACGTTTACAGAAACTAGCAATGAATGATGATGACCTAAGAAAGGATCATTTGGTTGTGAATATTGACTCCCACTCACATACTTAATAGTGACAATTTAAAATGTTGCTGTGGGCATCAGTGATAGATACATGATATAGAATTTCCATTGTCAGAATGTTACAATCTAGAGTGGATAAGGAGAAGGACTAGACAAAGGGGTGGACATCATGAGGAGACATGTCTGCAACCACACAGCTACTAGGATGCTAGCACTGAACTGGGTCAATGAAAGCTTTTTTGATGGAAATGTAAGCCTGGAAAGACGAGTAAGAATCTGCTGAATACCCATGTTTAAGAAGGATTAGCAAAACAGTTTTCAAGTTCAAAATATATGGCTCCAAAAAATATATATTACTAGATTAATGATTCATAAATTTTGAAAGTTTATCAAATCCACATAATAATAATACACGAAATTGAAGATTTATGTAAAAGTAATTTACC